GGTAGAGCCGCGTTCGGCCTCGCAGGGCGGGGGGGAGCGCCGCCCGCAGCCCGGCTGCCTCGTCTGGAGGCGCCCGCGCCGCTCTGCGCGCCCGCGGGGCCGGGGGACCCTGCCCGGGAAAGCGCCGCTTGCAGACGTGACGGAGGAGGGGGCCGCAGGAGACCTCGCAAAGAGCACGTGCAATATCATCTTGTGTAAGGACAGCTCATGGTCTTGCACATGGAGAGTGCTATAGGCGGTATGATCTGCTATAAGGGAAGACCCCTGGGTGGAAGCAGCCCACGCCGGGGAAAGGAAATGTTGCAGCCTTCACTTCTGTCCCCGCTGCCTTTCCCAGCGCCGAGGAGGCCAAACGCTGCCCTCTCCAGCGTTACCCCGCACTGAGACTCCGGGGCGGCAGTTCCCGAACTGCTCCTGCGAGCAGTACCTGCTCCCTGCCTAATTCAAGGTGCAAGTTTTGTTTTCCTGCACAGATGCTGTATCCCAGGCTTGTCCCGGGTTTGCCTCCCCCTCTGCACACAGACAGAAACCAGCCGAGTCTCCTGCCGGGTCCCACAGGTACTGAGGCAGTGGGTGGCAGTAGTCCGAACAGCACCTCCTCCTGCAGAAATTCCTGATCCTCTGGGCTCGCCCAGTAATGGGAAGATCTTGTTCATTGTATTTACTTCATTTGTGCTCCTCTCAGGCTGTGCAGCAAAGTGATGTAAAAGCCTTGCGAAAACTCGCCTGTTTCAGAAGAAAATCTCAGGTCATCTTCTTTTCTAGCAGTATTTAACTTTATTTCTTAAATAATAACTGTTTTGCAAATGAACGTCACCGTAGCTACAGAGTAGGTCACATTTGTAGCCCCCTAAAACAAGTTTCAGGAAAGATTGCTCCGGGTGTTCCGGGGAAGCCTCCCGTGAGTGACTGCTGCAACAGTCGGACTTCGGGTTGTCAGCCGCGATGTTGACACCCGGATCCCATGTCGCTGTTGAGACATCAGCTGTGGGATGCCGCTCCTTCCGTGCGAGAAGGATGTGCCTCCTGCAATTACGAGAAATATTTTAATGGTTTTTAGAGTCCAACTCAATGTTAAACCTGGCGAACGTGCATATATAATGCCGACAGTGAGAATTTTAATCTTACTGACTAGAGAAAATCTTACTGAATCAACTCAGCCAGTGTTAATAGATGGCATGTAATCCCCTTCTCCATTCATATACCTTATATGGGGAAAATCCCGTGTTCTTTTAAGGCTGGGAGACTCAAACACAAACATTTCTATAGAAGTTTACAACCAAACTGAAAGAAATGACTGAATCTTGCTGGTTGTGTGTGTGTACAGTCTTTGGCCCGGTATTAGTGCTCAGAGCTGCTGTTTCTGGAAAAAAAAATCCCAAATCTCCTTCCTGTTACTTTACCTTTGCAATAAAAAGGGAAGGCCTGGCATGTAGAGTACCAAGAAAGAAAACAAAACTACCAACACTTCATTTTCAGCACTGCATGACAATATTTCTTCCATTTTATTACTACTTGTAGGACCCCGAAAAAGAGAAGAAATGCAAATTGCCTATTTAAAATCACCAAGCTCCTAATAGAGATGAGAAATGTATGTTCATTTTTCGGGGAGACCACTGGCTACAGATATACCCGGAGACTTCGCTTTCCATTATCTTCAGACTAGACCAT